CCTAGCAGTCCTGTGGCTGGGTGGGTTCGAGGAGGTCAGTAAGCTCCCACCTTGGTGTCCTGCTCCATTGGGTCTCAGCCTGTTTTGACCCAGTGTCCCTCTGGGGGAGCCCTGGAACTAGAGCTCCCTGCCCTGTGACCGGAGGAGAGAGGCTTGCCGCTGGGGGTCAGGTCACGCTGCTCCCTGGGTGACCAGGCAGAAAGAAAATGGGGTGGAGGGTGGTAGGGGGTTGACCAACACGCAGAAGACGGTGCAGCTGCTGTGATGTTCTGGGGAGGAGGGTCTGGGGTGGGTGAGTTGTCTGTAGCTCTTTTTCTGGAGGGAGATGTGATGTGACCCCAGAAAGCCGTGTGGCCTTCTAGACCCGTCTCAGGCCCCGGGCGGTTCTGCCCAGGGGTCCTGGCTTCCAGCTGGAATTGACATACAGGCAGGCAGGGGCCTGGCACTCAGGGCTCCTTCCCAGCTGCTCCCTGCCCGGCTGGGAGTGGGGAGGAGGGTCTGCACTCACAGCGGAGGGGCCGGTACCGGGGAGGTTTCTGGAGGAGAGCAGACTCGCTCAGGAGCTGGGCAGGCAGGAAGTCCCTGCCCCCGCGAAGTGAGCTCCGGGGGAACTGGAAATGTCTGTGGTCTGTCCACAGCAGAGAAGCCTGGGGGGTGGAATTCCCCAGACCACGTGGTGTGGAGGCTCCCTGCACCTGCCCTGGGCCTGGCCTCCTCCTGTCCGCCCCCTCCTTTCGCTTCTAGGATGCACAGGGGGCCTCCAGCGCAGGTGTGGGAGGACGGCCACGGGCCTGGTGGTTTTTTACTGAGTTCTTACTTTGTGAGAATTGTAGATTCCTGTCTAGTTGTAAGAAACAAAGCCGGTGTGTCCTTCACCTGGCGTCCCCAGCAGGATGCCTCCTGGATACAGGTGAGGCCGAGCTTGCCTCCCGGCGGCCTCCCCAGGGTTCACCCTCGCGGCACCGTCCGTCCTCCATTTCTGTAACCGTCGTGCAGTGTGAACCTCCGGGGACTGGCTTCTTCCAGCAGCAGAATCCCCGAGATCCCGCCGGCCGGCGCCTGGATCAGCGCGGCCTCTTTAGGCCTCCGGCTGCGGGTGCTCAGCCCTGGAGGGCATCTGGGTTTCCCTTCTCTGGTGATGAGGAGTAAAGCTCCTGTAGACACGCACAGATTTTTATGTGAACGTCCGTGTGTGTTTCTCTGAGATAAGCCATCAGGAGTGAGTTGCTGGGTCAGAGGGAAGTGCAGGCCTCGCTGGGAGAGATCCGGTGTCACTGGTTTCACTCTGGCATCCGGTAGGTGTGCGTGACGTCGCCCGTGGTGCTGCGTGTCCTCCTGTGTCGGCGTGCCATCGGCCCGTCCTGGTGAAACGCCTCGTGCCTTTTGCCCTTTTTCTAACCGGACCTGTGACTCTTCCAGGCACCGGTCTTGTCAGCGTGTGGTTTGCAGGTGTCTCCCAGCTCGTAGCTGGTTTTCGCGTCCCCTCGGCAGCCTCTCCAGTTTTCCCTTTTCCCTTTTCCGGATCCTGCTTCTGGAGTCGTGTTTGAGAACGCTTTCCTCCGCGCTCATCCCCAGAGGTGCTCTCGTGTTTTCCTAAAGGCTCCGCGGTGTGTGTTGTGCATTTAGATCTGTGGCCGTTTCGGTGGGTTTCTGCGAGAGGGTGGGGCTGAGGTCTTCTCCCCCGGACCCTGTGAAGTGCTGGCACCTGTGTTGGGAGTCTGTGGGGTGCCTCTGTGGGTCGGTTGGGGTTCTCTGGTCTCTCCCCTTGCCTGTGCGTCTGACCCTGCCAGCACCACAGCCTGAATGAGCTGCCGAAAACCCCGCGGAGGCTCCAGGCCCACCCAGGTCTGAGGAGAGTTCCTGGCTGTTGGCAGGTTCCCGCCCCCCCCCCCCCCCCCCCGTGTCAGGGGGCAGGCAGGAAAGTGACCCTCCTTGTTGGGCCGTGACCCTGGCTCCCTGTCCTGCTCTGCCCAGAGTCCAGGTGCCCCTGAGCTTTTTGGAGCCGTCGTCCTGTTCTTTTTCTGGCCTCTGCTTCCCAGGTGGGACCCAGGTGGGGCGGGCGCGAGGGTGAGGCAGGAGAGACCTGACTCCGAGGAGGGGCAGGCCCAGGGTGGCGGCCTCCCTGTCTCCCGGGGACTCTGGGACCTGCTTCCCTGGGAGCCCTGTGGTGAGCGGCCCGTGAGGGCCACCTGCTCCAAAGCAGAGCCACCCCTCACCTGCTCTGGGGTCCTGGCCTGGGACTCCCCCCGGGCACCCCCCAGGCACTCCGTCTGCAGAGGACAGGATGGTAACCCTGCCTCCTGCAGCCTGTGGGTCAGCACTCAGGAATGTGGCCCTGGGGCTGAGTGGGTGCTGGGCCAGACGGAGGCCTCAGGAGTGCTGGGCGTGTCCCAGGTGGCCTGTCTGAGCCTGTGGCCCTGCAGCCCCCAAAATGCACTGGGGCTTCAGTCCCGACCCCTGACCCCAAGAAGGTGCCTCCCAAGAGACCCTCTGAGAACAGCCCAAGTGCGTGCTTCTGTGGTCAGACCAGGCAGAGGTGGGCACGGAAGGGGCCTGGGGAGCCAGCACGGGCCCGAGGCCTGTCGGTGAAGGGCTGGCTGTGGGTGTCAGACGCTGGCAGCCTGGAGGACGGGCCAGCTCTGAGACACTGAATGGGAGAGAGTGAGCCCGCACATAGGAGGGAGCCGCATGGCACGGGGCACCCAGCCGTCTCTGCAGCCACTGCTGCCGTGTCTGCACTGGTCATTGCCATGTCCGTGGGCACCTGCCAGCCTCCCACCGAGTGCTGTGTGTCCTGTTGGGAGCTCGGGGTCTTTGTGCCTGGTCCCTGCACCCCTCAGTCCCAGCAGTCAGCCCCCTTGGCCTCAGGGAGTGAGCTGCCTGCTGCTGCCCTGAGGAGAAGCTGGGGGGGGGGGGCAGTCCCTACAGGAGACGGCCCCACACTGTGCCCAGGCCAGGCTGCGGGGGGCTGGCCCCGGCCTCCACCTCAGGCCTCTGGGGCCTCTGGATATTCCCTGCCTCTGACTATTCAGGCCCCGATTGGGAAATATTTGGGGTCGGAAAGCCTGCTTCCAGAGCCAGCCCAGGGCTCCGGGTGGCAGGGCCGGGCCAGAAAGGGTTAATGACACTCTGGGCTGGGTGTGGGGGGTTGGCTGCCCTGACCCCCTGAGTGGCCCTGGTATTCCAGTCTGACCTGCCTGCCCTCCATCACCGCTGGGTGCTGGGGGGCTGCCTCCGCTTTGTTCCCGGACCCCAAGCCCTGCACCCGGAACCTTGTCCCCTGAGCCCGACTGCTCCCAGGGTCTCCCAGCTGCCTCTCCACTGATGTGCTTCCCTCCGTCCCAGCAGCCAGAGCAGCCGAGTCCCACGTCAGCACCGGGAGGGCTGCTTTCTGCCACCCACAGACCTGGCCTTGAGGCTGCTCCCAAGCCAATGAACCCCATGAACCCCATGAAACCTGCCCTGCCCTCCGCGCCACACAGGTGAGTAGGGCTCCTGCTGCCCCCCCCCCCCCCAGCCCCAGGGATGTGGGTGGCCCAACAACCCCTCTGCTCCCAGCCTTCAGTTCCTCCAGGGGGCGTCTGAACACCTGAGGCCTCCAGAACCAGGCCCCCTGCCCCCTGTCCTTGCAGTGATGGGCCCTTCGCTTACAAAGCGGTGCCCTGGCAGCAAAACGCCCCTCAACCCGCAGGAGCGCTGTCCGTGGTCACGACCGTGTGGGGAGTGGGCAACGCGGCACAGAGCCAGGTGAGCCCACCTCGGACCTCAGACTGGAGCCGGGCCCCCCTGGGCTCCCTGCCTCGGAAGCCAGTTCTCCCTGCACCTGCTGCGCCTTTCTCCCCGCCTTCACCTGGCCTCCACCACCCCTGGGAGCCCCCCGCCACCGCACCTCAACTGCCAGGGCTCGCTTGGAGCCACTCTGCTAAACAGAGTTGTTTGGATGGTTCCAGGTCACTATAGATATCTTATAAGCTATGGGCGAGCCCCAATGGGAACGTCCGGGAAACCCCCAGACTTAACTATAATGCACTTTAAGAATATTTTTTCTCTATAATAAATCTCTCCATTTCTTTCCTAATAGAGTATAAGGAGAAGATGACCTCACAAGGGAATTCACCAACATGGGGGATGATTTTTTAGATGTCTATAGTGTAACATGTACGCAGGAGAGTATATAAATATGTGATGTCTTATTTTTGTTAATTTAAA